CACCTCCTCCACCGACGGCCACACGCGCGGGTCCTCCGTGCGCAGACCACCACTTTCCCCTCCCTCGCCCCCTCCCTTCCCCTCGCCTTCCTTCCGGGTATGATGCCCGTTATTTCGCAACGAGGTCATGATCGTACAAGCCGCCGCGAAATTGGAACGCGCTTGTGCCCACACTGTATCCACCAGGGTCAGGTCGGCTGTGGGGAAGGCCTGAGGGAGGGGTAGGTCGCGAGAGAAGGGCGGTAAGTGGTAAGAAAAAACTCTGGCGGCCCTTGAAAGAAAAGTGAGGGGAAGAAAAGCAAACGCATAGGATGACAACCTTAACCTTCCGTCCATACTCATCACCGACCTGTTGCAAATCCTCCTTCTGCCTCCGATCTCGCATCACGCTGACCTTCGCGTCCTCCTGTACGAAAACCACCAGACCGTTCTCCCCCACCAGGGTACGTCCTTGCCCTGGAAACCATGCGCGCTCCCTTCTGGAACCTTCCATGCTTACAGTATCGTACCCGGCGGCCATTGCAGATTCAGTGACAACAGACGGGCGAAGGGCTACGGGGGGGGGAGGGGCGCCGGGAGGAGCTGCCGCCGCCGCCGTCGCCGCCTGGACCGCGTTTCTCCGGGCGGTGAGCATGGAGGGAGTGACACGTTTGAAGTGATAGGCACGTGGGTGATCGGACGCGGCATGTTGTAGTTGCTCTTGCCTCTGCTCGTGCCGTAATTGGAGCCGACTGGCGCGGACGGCCAGGTCGTTCAAATCGAAGAGTTTCAAACAACCCGTGTGCGCCCGCAAGGAATCCCATCGGAAGCTCATTTCTTTCTAAAAACGGTACGTCGAAGAAATGCCGGCGGTTTGATGCTGGAGGCTTGTGAGGGAATGTTTGATGCTCGGGATGTCAGTCAGGAAGGTTGCCGATTGGACTCACTCAGCTCAAATCGTTTCCTTCGCGTTTGCGTCCTCCTGTGTGCTTTTGTGACATCATCAAATGGGAGAGAGGTAAGTGTTGTATTTCAGGGGGAAATACTTCCAGGCGACCCAACAAAAACAAGTCCCGAGCTGACCCCTCCTCTTTTTTGCCAGGACGGGTGACAAGACAAATTGCTTCGCGCCATGGTTTCCTCCGCCCCAACATGGTGCGGTCGTCGACGACATCCTTTCAACAACATGCGAAATGTAGCCCCAGTTAAAGTACGGGACCGATCGATGCCCGGGTGCATAAGCAAAAGCGGCGAATAAATATGAGGGAGTGCGATCACTCCCTTCAAGAGCATGCCGTAGTTTGAATTTCTAGCTCTCAACAACTCTTCCTTTGGAATTTGGGTCGGCGTTTTGACACGTAATTTTGTTGTGAAGCAGCCAGACAAGTAAAATTGGTCGCTTGTGGGTATTTCGCTGAGTACGACTCTCAGGTGTATTTTCCGGATGTCTTACAGGAATGACTCTTAATAAGGACGATAAATTCGTTTGATTCGCGCACTTTTTTGTTGGGTATTCACAGCATGGATAATACTGTGATACGGCAAGGTTCTCTAGCGTTCAGGAGACACTCAGAGTGTAATGTCTTTATGATAAATTTGAGAAATTAAAATGTGGAAGTTTTTTGGTCGGACTCGTGTTCAATTTATGACGATGCCGCATGGCTTTAGTCTGGGTGATGCCTGGCATGTGACGCTGGACCATCACAAACTATTTGTGCCGACCAAAAAGAAGTCCAAACCACAAATAATCAATTCTACCAAAAAAGCATTGTCATCTATAAAAAATTAAACGTTAAAAGGGCGTATTGTGGGTCATCATACGATGAGTGAAGACCTGCAGACGCGACATATGACAGGAGGAAAGAGAGCGTCGCTCATTTCTTGGATAACATGGTATCACATCAGCAACGACGGGCAGGGGCAAAATTCTTAAACAAAGTATAGCGCCATGAGAATACGAAGCGTTTCAGCTGCCTACCATGCGACAGTCGTATTTCCCTCCGACTGCTGGTCAGTCGAGGCCAGGATTTTGCGCCGGACTGCTCACTCTCATTCTTGTTCGCTGTTGAATGGAGCGTTTCCCAGCAGTTTAGCCACAGCGTATGCCGTCTGTCATGTCCAAAAGCTGGCGTTCCGGGCATTCACGCGCATGTTCCGTGTCTTTATACACACACACAGGGTGACACCCATACAAGAGGTATCAGGGTGCTTTCAAGGGGAGTGGATGTCCTGATTCAGGTAGCAAATCGTCCCACTCGCTCAAAAAGGCTACCAGGAGTCTAGGGGAGAAGTTTTTTTTCCCCATCAAAGGAGACTCGAGCGGAGTGTAGACGGTGCAGCATCAGTGGGGAGACAAGATGGGTGCCTTGCTCAAATGGGAGCAGATTTTCGTCCCCGTGATTTCCTTCCTCACGATATTCCTGGTGCATGCACGGTACTTCAAGGTAACGCACGGGGACCGCGAACCGACGTGCCTCCCTTTCTTCTCCACGCTCACCCATCTTTCCTCCCTTGGCCACTTTCCTGCGTCCTTCCTAGCTATGGCTCACCCCCACGGCATGGGCCGACCCGCACGCGCGGGTGGACCTTCAGAGCGTGCATAATCTGCGCACCTTGTTTGTCGGCATTGTAAGTACTCATCAGCACCTGGTTCGTTAGTATTTATCACACCTGGTTCGTGACTACTGTATTTACCACAAGCTTGTCGGGGGCCAAAAACGTAGGGCCGCTGGGGGGGGAGGCGGCTTTCCACCTCGGCTCTGGCACGCTCTGACAATCCTCATCTATATAAATTTATGCCCTTACATATTTATATACTTGTGCACCAACAGAGGACTCGCTGGGTTCTGGAGAACCATGGGCGCAAGAATATGGTCGTGCAGACCCTCAGGGACATGATCAGGTCCATCAACATGCGTCCTGCCATGTTTCCCCCTGGTTCT